TAAAAGGCCAAGCATATATTGTTAATCTAGGTCATGGGCTTATACGAGCATGGTACGATAACAAGAAAATACACATTACCATTCAATTTCATGAATCCATTATCATTATCAACAGAAAATGAAATAGATTTTAACCCTTTATCACTTTCATGTTTGTACACTTCTTTAATGCCTTTATCAATTTTATTAAATCTATCATTTGGTTTAATTGCAGTCATCCTAATCATCTCTCTAATCATGTCATCATGTAGAATTGGATCCAAACTAATCAACTTTTTTGATCTAATATTATAAATTGCGGAACATACATCAGTGTTGACAAGTAATTGATCTATAAATTTTAATAATTTACTCAATTATTAAAATACATTTAATTGTTAAATATACAATAACTATAGTTAATATATATTTATAGTTTACCCCATCCTATGCGAACGCTTTGATAGAATTCATGTATAAGCCCAAAATTAAAATTACTACGAAGACGATTTGGTCTTTTAGGAATTTGAAAGGTCTTTCTTCCGAGTGTCAAATAGTTTGTATTCGTGCGGACTTCAAAATTTAGATAGGTATTAAGTATGCGTAATAAATTTAAGTTTTCACTATTCAAAAGTTGATAATTTTCTTCAAAACATCTTTTTAACGGACTAAAATCGATATCTTCACTGTACTTAATGGTAACGATGTATTTCTTTCCCTCCATATCAACCTAAGAAAATAATATGACACATTATAATGTTTTTAAAAATAATGAATATGAGTTTGTTAAAGTCTTACATTTAAAGACTCGTCATCAATTTGAGTGGAGGAATAAACCACATTTTCTGCATACACTAGAAATGTATCTGGACTGAAATTATCATTCTCACGCAATTTATTAAAAACTTTAAATATTTTGCTTTTTTCTACTTTTTGTTCTTGATTTTCTTGAATTGAAACTTCAAAAGAATAGCTGTAAATTTTAGGATAATCAAACTACGGCAAAAAAAAAAAAAAAAAAAAATTAGAAATTTTGTATACTTATGTATAATGCATTGATGCTTACTTTAACTTTCCAAAAATTTGTTTCTATTTTAATAATTTCACCTATTGTAGGTGATTCTTTTGGTCTTTGAGCAATCTCCAACTTTGGAACCTTCTGTTGTTGACTTTGCATTATAATTCACCGAAGTTAACGTCAATGTAAAAGTCAATTTATTTGATTGGAAGCTTGCTAAATATGTGAACAATGACATGTTACATATAAACATAGCACTTGTACAACTGCTTGGACTAATTCAATTAATCTGCACTCTCCTATAGATTAGAGTGCTACAAATCAACTAATTTTTAATTAAACTAGGCGCATGAGTTGTTAAAGGGAGTTAGAATAGAGTATGCTATATCGTATTGTAATATAATCTTAGTGCAATTCTTAAATTTTTATTGGTTTCATATTATACATAGCCAAACAGTAGAGCTTTGTATTAATAATGATGAGAAATTGTTTGGCGTTTGTTTTGGTTACACATTATTTATTATTTCACAAAGTTATATCGATATTAGTATAAATTTTTTTAGACAAGATTTTTTACACCGCAGATTATATATAATATTTTATAGTTTCAATCTTTTATATCACAATTAAGTAGCTAACTTCTT